CTCCACCTCATGCCATCCGAACCGTCCCCCGAGATGAGAATCTGCTAGACCTAATCTAATAAAAGCTCGCTAAAACCCGCCCCAAGGCCCAACTCCCTATCAAGCTTCTTCCTATCCCACGATCTGTTCGTCCAAAGGTCGCTCACAAGCAGGAAGGGGGAATGCGACACCTGCCTATCTCTAGACAACGGCCTATCACCGATCCACCACTCATCCCAAAAACTAACCTCGCCATCACCCAGAACCCAAAAGATGTGATCCTGGGCGCGCCTACCGACTCTATTATGACGCCGCCACTGTCTACTGTCATGAGCCACCGCCGTTACCCAACAAGGGTGGTTGGCGCGTCTAGGGCAGTACTTGCCGCGAAGGTACTGAGCCCAAAATGACTTTCTTCCCTGAAGCGCCACAACAACTTGTATGAGAAGGTAGTGACAATATCCCTAAGGCGGTGGATGCCAAGGCCTCCCTCAGAGAAAAGGCGGGAAATAGAGTCCCAACTCACCCAGTGGGTACGTCTCCCCCTCCCGGAACCGTCCTCGTAACCCCATAAATAACGAGCCATGATCTGGTCAATCTCGTCAAGAGTAGACCTAGAGGGGTCAAGGACTATAAGTAAATTAAGCAGAAGGGAGCTAAGGGTGCTCTTGATCAGCGCAAGCCGACCCCCGAAGGAAAGGTGTCTATGCCACCAACCAGAGATCCTGTGGATCATCCTCTGTCTAATGTCTGCAAAGAGCACTCTCGTGAGGTGACTCTTATATAAAGGGGCACCAAGGTAAGTAATGGGAAGGTCATCGCGTGCAAAACCAGTGATCTCATGGATCCGCTGAGCCCAACTGTCCGCGCTAGAGGAGGAGAGGGTGAAGGTGCTCTTCTGCACACTGATCAGCTGGCCGATAACCAAGCTATAGTGCTCCAGAAGGTGCATAAGCTCGATCAGCCCATCAACATCTGCTCGGGTGAAGATGATGATGTCATCCGCATATGAAAGGTGCGAGATGGAAGGACCATAGCCACGAGTGCTGTAAGTCATCCGTGGATAGTCGCGGATGAAGCCGTCAAGGCAGCGAGAGAGGTAGTCCGCCGCAAGGACAAAAAGGGATGGGGAAAGGGGGTCACCCTGTCTAAGGCCCCTAGAGGAGGGAAAGAAGTCGGTGGGGCTACCATTAACTAGGACCGAGAACGTGCAGTGCTCCATACACGCCTCAACAAAACTGATCCACCGCTCAGGAAATCCCATCCTAGCCAGTGCCTCCCTAAGAAACGGCCACTCCACCCTATCGTACACCTTAGCCATGTCTAGCTTGAGCGCAATGTTCGGTGCCCGCTTCCAATCTGCATAGGAGATATCGTGGATCATCTCCTGGGCCAAAAGTATGTTGTCACTAATGACCCGATCCTTGACGAAACCACTCTAGTTTGGAGAGATGAGGGAGGGGAGAAGAGAGGAAAGGCGACCGTTAAGAGTCTTCGAAATGAGCTTATTGGTCACGTTACACAGGCTGATGGGCCTGTAGTCGGACCAAGAACTCGGATTGGGTCTCTTGGGAATCAAGACGACAAAGGTAGAAGTGAAGGAATCCGGCATCCGGTGACCGGAGAAGAAATCCAACATAGCCTCCTCAACATCAGGCTCGACAATATCCCAACAGACCTGATAGAAGAGAGAAAAGAACCCATCGGGGCCAGAAACGCTGTTGGGATCAATCTCGAAAACAGCATCCCTAACCTCCTCCCTACTCGGGAGCTCACAGAGGCCGACGAGGTCGACCGAAGGAGGAATGGTGGGAAAGAAAGAAGCGATTGGGGCATCAAGAGCCCCTCTGTCGGAGGTGAAAAGGGTCTGGAAGTGGGCAGTAGCCGACTCCCGAATCTGAGACTCTTGGGTCAGGAATGACCCATCAGCCTCAATATTGTGGATGTGCGACTTAACACGCTTCTACCTAACGAAACCCTTGAAGAACCTAGTATTCCGCTCGCCCTCGGCCACCCAGCGAATGGCCGCCTTCTGCTTCCAGAAATCCTCTTCCATAAGGAGTCGGAGC